CCCTTGCCACTAGTGTCACCAGTCTTATACTTCACAATCGACAGCACCACAGCTATGCTAGAAGGTAAGTACGAGTATCTAATACAAAGATTATAAAACATCGCCATTAATCTAGGCAGATGTTATCCGGCGTTCTTAAGATGTTCAATACTTAATTAATTATAACCAGGAGATTTTCCTCGAGACATTGATTTAATAACTTCTCTAACACTCTGAGATGTTATTAAGGTACTCAGCTCCTGGCCATGACATCTCAAAACATTTCGAGACTGCGGCGGACCCAACGGTGATTTGACGGTTTTTCACTAATACCCTCAAGGCTCACAGGAACGCCCGGCTTTCTGTTTAACTTATTAGAACTATTACAAAAATTACTAAAATCACTACCAGTTTAAGTTTGCGTTGCGAAATGCTTAACACCACAATGAAACTATTAAAAATTCTCAGATACATAACGCTTAAATAAGCTTTCAGATCTCATTTAATCATGAGATTGTGATAAGCTTCTAAATTGATTGTACTTATATATCTAATTGGAATCTTGCACCCGTCCTTACTAAGAACATTAGCTTATACATTGTAACATAAGGCTAAGTAATAAATTTTGTATTTACAAGTATTGACGTCTTTTCTTTGCATTCCTGCCTCTGTTATTGCTAAACTGCACCGTACAGCAAACGACAAAATAGAATTCAGTTGCTAAATTTTTCTTTTGTCTTATGACTCAATTACATAAAGTCGTTAGCCCGTATTCGGGTGCACGAAAGACATTACTCGAATCGGGCACCCGAAGCAATATTAACACTGGAATACGGTGTCGGGTAACTAAAACAAAAACTACTCGAATACGAGCGTAATAAGCACTCGTATTCGAGCTTACGACCAAATGTAAATGCGCCATTAAGCGGTAGATAGATAGATTTAGGATTCTGTGTAACCAACGGTTTAAGGGGTTACACGAAATTGCAAAGCCGAAAAAAGGCTTTTTTATTTTAAAAAAAGGGAATTCATTTGACAAATACTATTCAAGGGTATTCAATAAATGTAATGGTAACTTTTTACAACATTTGAGTGTTTTAAATTTTTCAATATATTAATTTACACTGCTCCTGTCGGTGGTCTCCTGGAGGACCACCAAAAAGGGGTGTCTGGTGGTGAGCAACATATGAACATATCTACAGTTTGGTTTATCTGAAATTACAAAAACCATCTCTTATCTATTAGACAAGTCCGTCCGTCCGTCTGTCTGTGTCTGTAAGAGATAGATAAAGAGAATATTTAAGTTATAAGTTAAGAATAGTCTGATAAGACTACAAACCGGATTTGAGTAACATAGCACTTCACCACGAATTTCAAACGAAACCACATAAAATCTCCGAAGTTCTCAATTAATTAAATACATTTCTTTTTTTTTCAAATCAGGTTTTGGTGAACATTTGGTTCACTGGTTTGCCAGTAAGATTATATTAGTGGATGAATAAATCTAGGTATTTATCGAAGGAATAGACAAAATTTTTACTTTTGACGAAATGGTAGCTCTGAAAATAAAAAAAAACAATTATTTGCGATCAAATTGTTTTCGTTAATTTGTTTTTATAAATAGAAATAATTATTACATATCGTATTCCTTCGATTAATCCCAGAAGAATATATCTGAGAAGGTTGTGTTAAAATTTCAGACCGATCGGTTGAGCCATTTTTGAGAAATTGTGCTCACGGACATTGAAAATACCGTTTTGAGAAAAACGCATTCAAAGTTTCAAAAGACGTTTATTTACACATACTTACATGGAGTCATCTTGTACTTACGTGTATCTCCAATAATATTTGGCAGATTAATTTGAAATTTTCACAGAATATTCTCAAATATAATTATGTACATTCCTAAAATGCATGAAAAAAAAAGTTTTTTTTTTAAACTTTTTAACTGCGTTTAACTTAACGGAAGCACGGAGGATTTCAAGAAAGTAAATTTTTGGTCACACATACAATGACTGACCACTGCGAAAGTTGCTTAACTTCTACGATCGCAGCTGAACACGGTAACCATCGCCTTCGAACCATAGGTTTCTATTGCCGTTGCTTAGGAAATATGTATAATAAAGGAGTCAAAAAGGTGATATACATAGTTCTGTTGTTTTTTGTTTCTAGTGCTATTAAGAGGGGAGGCGGGCAATATTTTTTCCATACAAACGTTCGCGACTGATTCCTCCTAGATTTTTATCACAAAAGAATTGATTTTCATATAAATTTACTCATTCCATGCTCCTATGTTTTCCTTTTTTCGATGACAGGTGTTTTCAAGAAACTAGAAGCCCTCGAAAAAGACCATGAATAAAAAATAAATTATTACCACTAAAGACGTCTAGTGTGGAGATTTAATAAGCATATACAAAAAAAGCAAAACATACAGACATACTATAACTACTTATTATTCATTGTGTAAAATTTCTTTTACATTTATCTAATTTTCGAGGAGGAAATCATCGAGAGCCAAACCTCGAATTTTGCAATTTTTATATGCAATTTACCGTCAACTACTGTTGTCCCTATCACGGGTTATTTGCCAATACGTGACAGCAATAGTTTTATCAAATATCTATTTCTCAAAAATCTCTCTTCTCGCGTCCGCTCTTAATGTTTTCATTGAAGTACAGGCCTCTCCATGTGCAAGTCCGACCATGATAAGAGCTTGGCCGGCTTTTTTAATTAATTTCGTCTGACTGACGCAGATTTTAATTGCTCTGAGAATTAAAGTAAGGCTAAATCAATGTTGTATAAGCGCTTGTGGTTTAACAATTTACTGAGCTTTTTATAATAGAAGAAAAAAAACCTATTATTGCAAGAAATTATTTACTTATCAAACATAACGGTCTCCGCTCATAATTCATCATGTGTCATGTATCTGCGTGCGTCATCCTGTTAGGTAAATCGGTGTATTTTTTTGCTATAGGTATCCTAATGAGACGAATGGCAGGAGATTCATTCTATTCTACTCCAGTCTTCGCTTATCAGAAACAAAGTTTCGATGACAGATAATATTGTGATCAAATACAGGACAACAGTCACTCTTCGGCTATCGAGTGTCGTTCCAATATATTTGTGAGCGAAGTACAGGGAATATACTTGAGATGGTATGCTGAGGATTCTGCTCGCGAGGCTTACTCTCGGGTATAGAGAGGAGGGTACGAACTGTAAAAGGACACAACTCGTCATGAAGCTCAGAGTGACAACAACTCTCACCCAAGCACCGGCGCTCTCTGGTATCACAAAACCAGTTACGCTATAGCTTGAGTAGAAATAACTGCAAAGGCGCCATGTCCAAAATATGTAAAACAGACCTGTAATTATCTTGTCTGGATTTGTCATTGATGGAGTTTGGTAATTAGTGTTGACAAAAGTATTAATGTTTTGGGAGGATTTGGGGTATAATGGTAGGTACCGTATTTTTCCATGTTTGTTATATTGTTCAATTAGCTTTCTTTCTTTTACACCATTTATCGAACTGCTCTTTTAATTTTGATTAACCATTTTTCAGAGCTATACTTCCACTTCGGAGAAATTTATTGTTTGACAATTTTATTTGATTACGGATGTGGGCCTGACATTGGCCTGACTAATTAATACAAAGATTATCATGGGTATATGATTTTGCTTCAGATTAAACACTGTTGAGGTCATTTCATAGATTAACATGGCTTGCGCGGTCAGCGTAATTCAAAGAATCATTATAAAGTATTCTGAGGTAATGCTTATAATTTAAATAGGTTACCAACAAGTGCTTTAATAGATTTATATACTAAAATGTACATACTAAGGTACTACCGGGTGACAAGGCCCACAGTTTTACAAATTGAAATAAAACCTTTATTTTACCACCCTAAAGGAAAAAAGTTACGATTATTTGCAAATCCAATTAAATGTAGTTTTATTACTATAACGACAATAACTTGCTTTTCTTAAGGATAAAAATTATTCTATGTCATTTCCCGAGACTCAAATTATATCTATACCAAATCTCATCTGAATTGCTTAAGCGGTTTAAGCGTAAAGATGTAAGACACAGACAAACAGACGCTCTACCGCTTTTATAATATTACAAGCAGCCGCCCGCGAATTCATCCGCGGTAACTTTAGTATTTTGAGAATTCCACAGGAATCTAACACTTTTCCGGGATATAAAGTATCCTTTGTCTCAATTCAGGTCAACACACTAATATTATAAAGGCGTTTGTGAGTGTGTGTGTATATGTTTGATACTTCTACACGTCTAAACGGCTGGAGCGATTTTAATAAAATTTGGTATTGAGTTAGCTGACACCCTGGATTAACTACGTTTTACTGCGGGAAAATATCCCTAATAAACCGCGGGTAACACCGCGGGGCACAGCTAGTAAACTATATCATCCAAATCCATTCAATAGTTTTTGTGTGATTGAGTAACAAACGTACAAACTTTCAAATTTATTTTATATATATTAAGTAGATATTAGAAGTAGGAAGTAGGGTTGTTATTTAAAAAAACGTACATCAGTAAAAAGAACTTTTAAAAATATATCACTTATTGTATAAAACCCTAAGGAGGCCATATTAGACTGCAATAGGGTTGAAAGGTTCTACCGAGGTTTTAAGGCCCAAGGAACAACTTTGTTGGGCCTTCTTAAACGACGTGGGACTTGATCATTGACACACAAATTGATCATTTTATAATAAAAATATATAAAATTTAAATTTACTTATAAATCGAAATATAATCAAGTAGCAACTAGGTAAATAAAATTTATACTCCAATTCCTAATAAAGGGCGGATAAACATTCTTCGGATATCACCGTATTTACGTAGATAGTACGTAAGTATGCGAATTAATAATGGCAGATAACAATTATCGTGATACGATTAATACATCGATTGATACCCATTCCGTCCCTTCGCGAGTGAGCCATTGTTGAATATGTCGTGTTAGATTGCAAGTTATAAATAAGTGAGAAAAAAAAACAATATGGATTCAACAGTAAAGCCATCGTCTAGATTAGTGTTAACATCGATATTATCAGGGAGTTTGACTCTTGTAAGTACCTACACCTAGTTATTAAAAATAATACATATGCTAGAATAAAATATAGGAATTTAGGTACCCAGCTTTTCTATATACTTTACGGGAAATATATGAAAATAGATGTTAATAAATTTAAATCTTTAATTGTAAGCTACTGCGAATTTTATTCAATGTTATTAGTAAACTATTTTTATGACTCATTTTGAAGTAAATCGACTACAACTTCATTCTAATCCTCACCATACACAAAGGTTGTCTCGAAGAGATTGCTATTAGCTATTCATATCGCTAATTGAAACACCGTGTTTATATTGTATTGTGGTGTTTTCAATATATTGGTGTGTATAGTAAATTACAGATGGATATTCTCATAAATGACGAATACTTCAGTACCTAGGTATATACATCTACGATGATTCACCACTAAAGGACTTGATAAATCAATGTGTAACGTATTTATGTATGTACTTAGCTAGTTCAATAAATATTTAAGTAATATAGAAACACGGTGTTAAGCGAATGTAACTTTAATAAACTGAAATGCTTTTAGATATCACACTTATATTTTAAAGGCGAAAGTTTGTGAGTGTGTGAATTTGTATGTTTGTTAATTCTTCGCGTCTAAATGGCTGGAGCGATTTCAATAAAATTTGGTATGGAGTTAGCTGACAGCCTGAATTAACACATAGGCTACGTTTTACTGCAGGAAAATATCCCTAATAAACCGCGGGGCACAGCTAGTTGTTTATATTTGAAATTCTGTTCTGGTAGGTATGAGTGGAGATTTGAACATGCAACATATACACACATCAAAAGTGTCTAGGGATCAACATATATTTTTGCAATAACTTTTCTCCTGATTGATATTAATTAAAATTTTCTTTAAGGATTCATCAAATAAAGTGTTTTCGTTTGTCACAGTAACGATAAACCAAGTCACCTTTGCATTAATAAAGAAATTTGCCATTTTCCTAATAAAGGGATTTTTGACATTTGAACCACTAACACAAAAGTTCGAAAAAAAGACTGAAATAACAGTTTTCTCTAAAATTTTATTGGGTAACTTAAACAATTAATAATCCGTATTTCTACCGCGAACACTAACAACACAAGAACATCGGTTTGGCATACTCAAAATGAGTTCATCCAAATCACGCTGTGGAATGGCCGCCCATGTTCGTTGCAACAACAAAAAAAGGTCTTCTTGCGACTGGATACCCTCCATATTCGGCAGAGCTCTTCTCTGTAGCATATCCCATGCATGCTCAATCGGGTTCAAGTCTGGCGACTGAGCAGGCCAGGGCAGGACATTGATGTTAGCTGCGGCGAGAGTCTGTCTTACAACTCTTGCGGTGTGCGGTCGTGCATTATCATGCATTAACTGAAATAAGGGACCGATTTGCACTTGTAGAGGAACGATGACGTCTGATACAATCGTCTCAGCATAAATTTGAGCGTTGAGGTTGCCTCTGATCCAAATCAACTCAGTTCTTCCGCCGATCCAAATACCCGCCCATACCATGATGGTTCCACCACTATAAGGATGGACTTCCTGGCAGGATTTTAATCGCTGTTGGCGTCCAGGGGTTCTCCAGTGTCGTATACGTCTTGTATCCGGTCTCATACCAAAACGAGACTCATCAGAAAAGCACACGAAACGCCATTGTTCTTCTGCCCAATTTCTGTGTTCAAGAGCCCATTGATATCGAATCCTACGATTGTGCATTGCTATAGGTGGTACCCGTAGCGGTCTTCGGGAATGAAGGTTCACTTCATGCAAGCGGTTTCTGACTGTTTGGTCGCTAATTAAGTTCCCTGAAGAGTGATGAAGCCTCACGGCTAACATCATGGCGGTTATTGTTGGAGCTCTTCGAGTTAAGATTTGAATGTATCGGTCTTGTCTCCGTGTGGTGCAGCGATACCGTCCTCCATGGCGCTCAGCCACGGTACCAGTGCTTCGGTATCGTGTCCAAAGTCGACTGATAACACTCTGACTTGTATTCAGAGCTAAAGCCGTTGCCGGGAACCAGCTTCTATCATTCCCACGGCTCTGAGCATTTCTTCCCTGCTTAAATGACGTCGCCGCTCCATAATAACGTTGGTTTTAATCAGTAGTAGGGAAACAGTAGCACTAATAATGTCTTCAATGCGTTGTATGTTTTTATAGGGAAAATATTGACAGCTGATTTTCATCTTTTACTCGAATTTGATTCACAGTTCCTGATTCAAATTATGAAATGCACCAAAAAGGATCCATATAAATTTATAAAATCATAAATTTATTACAAAGCCACATCTGAATCTCAAGAAATCCGCATAAAAATGCTTGATCCCTAGACACTTTTGATGTGTGTAGATAACATGTCAACCTATTTTTCCTTCTTTGTTATAACTAATCCTAAATTCTAAAAAAATCCACATACATTAATAGGTAATATATAAAAAGTGCTAGTGCTTAAAAAGCGAAGTAGTTTATTGATTGACCTTGTTTGAATCGCTTTTCAGTATAAATTTAATACCTCTGTTGTTTCGATTTAAGTTAACGGCAAGACTTTGAACAGCTTGACATTTAATGAAACTATGTATTGTTAATTTCCAGATATTTTCGATAGTATACATCACTCTTTCGATCATAGCATTGATATTCCGGTTCAACTGTAACGCTATCTCTTTGGATTCGCTGACAACGTCAGACTTCTTCATTATCCAGCTGTACAGGATTTATATTTTAAGTAAGTGAAACGCGAGTAATTTTGAAAACTAATATTCCCACACCATTTGAATAACTCGTCGGAATGGATGCCAAAGAAAACCGATCAATTGCTTACAAACTTTTCCGTGCTAAACACAAATAAACTGTAAAAAAGCTTTGCCAGGAACCAGTTTCGGAAAAAATGGCGGCAGCCTATGTTATTGTTTCTAGGTAAACGAAGTTTTACAAACAAATATTTTGTACGGTTAAAACTTTATACTAAGTTAGTAGTTAGTACTTAGTTTGAGTCTAGCCGTGCTATTCTGTAAGAACAAAGTAATTTTTCACCGCGCCATGTGGCGGAATCCGCGTATGATTAGAAATTAGACTACCACTAGGATACCGTGGAGAAAAGAGTACCTATGTTTTTACTTATTAGCTCGGAAGCCTGTACATATGTATGCCTGAAACTCATGGTAGATGAAATACATCATCGATCGCACAGCATCGATGTTTAAGTTACATCATAAGCAAACAAGCTATTATAAACGGTGGAATTGCAATACGAAGGATGACCTAAAATTAATAATCTCGAGCTCCTGTGTGCTTTGGAAGGCACGTTTAACTGTTGGTCCCAGCTGCAATCCGCAGTAGTTAGCACCCATACTACGCAAAAGGGCCGGCATGGTGTGGTAGGTCATTTCTAAAAATTTCATGTATAGGAAACGCCTGGCTCCAGCAGTCTAGACTGATGATTGTTTTAAAATAATACGAAGAATACAAATTTGTCTCCGTGTACAAAACCGAATAATGATCTAGTATCAGTAGAGTATTGATTACACGTGACAGCTTTTGTATTTCGTCGATTAACAGTAAAAATCGGAGATCTACAGGTAGATATTGTAAAGATTATCGAAATACCAACTTATCAAAAATCGTAATGACTACACTATGAAAATCACATCCTGTGAGGAGAAGAGGAGGGGAAGCTTAAACCATGTTGATAGAATGCGAGCGAGCTCAAAGAATTCTGCGGATAACCCTGAATACACTTTTAGGCAGGCACAGGCATTCTACTACAGAGTTAAACGAACACAACCGCTGTAATGTTCTCTTATTAAGAAAAAATATCTCGAATTTATTACCTATCATTATATCAACAATACAATACCTTATCCGATTATTTTTTTATCCGACCCCAGTGTGAATTCGCGAATAACCACTTAAGCAGTCCTCACATTGGCGGCTAATAATGAAAACAATCCCGAGAACCTCCAACTCGTGGTGATACTGAGAATACACGCATCCGTTTGTCGGGATACTATCCATGTTCCCATTATCGAGAAATTCAATAGCAGACGGATGATGTTGATAATACCTTATTTTACAGATGAGGAATGCCTTTTATCGGAGTCTTTAGAAGGAGTCACGAGCGACTATTCCGTGTTCGTATTGACAACCATCACTTTGGTCGCTTCTCTGGTTACTCTGGTGGCAGCAGTGGTTCTCTTAGCAGGTATTTTTTTTGTTATTAGCCTACAACTAATCCGTAGCTTATTGATAAATATAGTAAGCAGCCACAGTAATCTTATCTTTTACCAGAGGTGGAATTAGAATTAAGATTGTGTATAAATGTACTGTCGCCAACACATTGAATAGAATAGAACCAAAGTGTCAGTTCTTATTGCATACAAAGTAAGAAACAGTTACCCTAATCAAGCAAGCAATATTATTAATTAAAAAATATATATTTTAAATTATTTACAATTTTGAGTTAACCAAAAGTATCAATCTAAAGAAAAGTTTACTAGAAAAAAATCCACGCGGACCAGGCAGCGGACAGGACTCGAACCCGCATCCTTCGCTATCCGGGCGAATGCACTGACCATTATGCTACCACGGCCCTATTAGCCGCGTCGAAATTTTCCTAGCTTTAAGCTGCAAGGCAGCGCCATCTCTTCGCATTGTAGGTAATCCACAATGTCAAATGAATACTTTTTCAAGTATTAAACATTTGAAAGAAGAAATAGCAATTATAGTTAAGAAAAAATTTTTTCTAGTAAACTTTTCTTTAGATTTAAACATCTAGCAGTTACATGCTTAAAAAATAAATAAAATCAAAAGTATCCATTTTTTTCAATAGATTGTGAATCTCATATCAGACAGAATAAAACTCGAAGTCAGTAATCAACCTACTCATACAGTGTAAGATATTGCTGATTTTCTGTTTCAGTGCGTTAAAAACTTCCGCTCGACATAAATTTAAAAGAATCTCGATAGGATAACTGATAACTCTTTGATTCTGTAGCGTGACCGCGGCATACCGCTAGCTCGGCTAGAACTACAAACGTAAACATTGTAACAAGCCACGACGAATGTGTGTGCCATCAAGATTACTTTAAATAAGCATCTGAGTACGTCGTTGGACCTAGCTTGGATGAGTACTTCACTTTTTGCCGCAACAACACATTTCCTAATGCCAAAGTATAATACACACGATAATTAAATCGACAGAATTTCAACATTGCGACTCTTCAATGTTAACTTGTAGCTATACAGCTACCATTTTAAGAATAAATTGTGGATTCAAAATATCTGCCGAATTAGACTGGGAGCAAAGAATAAGACAGCATGCACCAGTTGCTTGCTACTTTTTCCAGAGCGTATAATAAGTACGGGGAATACATATTCCGTAATCTGGAGGTGATATATAAGTTGAGAAACCTATCACTGTTATGTACTACTTAAATCGTAGCCAATGCCAAATATGCCGTGTCGTTGAGGTAGGTGTGGCTAAGAGAGTGATGTAATAAATTATTAATCCACTTAAACAAAAAAGGTAAATTTAAAAAATCAAAAAACCCGACTGCTTAATTATTCTTCTTATAAAAGCTGAAAAAAAAACAAGTCCAAGTCTATAATTCTGTACATAAGGAACAAAGCTACTTTAACAGTCGGGACCCATTAGATATTCAAGAATACATAATATTTTTCAACAGTGGGTCCCGACTGTTAAAGTAGCTTTGTTCCTTATTAACAGAATTATAGACTACTGGACTTGTTTTTTTCTTTTCAGTTATTATTTGAAGAATAATTAAGCAGTCGGGTTTTTCGATTTTTTAAATTTACCTTTTTATTTCACACTTTTTAGTTAGTATTTTAAGACGGTACATACCGTAGTCTTGTTACTTCAGTAAGGGAATTAATATCGCGGGAATTATTAAGTACCTTGCGTCGGTCTAAAAGATTGATTTATTAAGACATATAAAGACTTTACCAGCGAGGTCAAGGCTACAGATGGGCCTCAATTTTCGCAAAAATGTGTGAAGTTAAATCAAGTCGTTACATAAATATCTCTAATGTATGTAAATTTTATAGTAAACTAGCACTTACTCAAAAAGTCATCTTTTGTTTATATTTTTTTTAATAGTTTAGCAGTAAATATAAAATTCATTTACTTTTATTCGTCGACTATTTAAAATTGGCAGTGGCTGCATTGTCATGTCAATGCCGGACGTCTAAGATTGTGATATACACAAATTCAGTGTCAGTCCCTAGTCTCATAATTTGATATAGGTATATGTAGGTACATAATTCACAGAAAACCAATATGTAGAAGCCAGAAGTTAACTTTAAATGTTTTTAATCACCCTATATACAATACCAATCAATGACGTTTATGTCGCAGGTTGAAGAAAGAAGTAATTCCCGTCTGTTGTTTTGGACAATGGTGGCAACTGCCTTAGATCACTAAATTAAATAATTATGCAATCACCAAATCAAAGTTTATAATATTTGATTAAACTAAAGGCGCATAATAAAATTTTCATAACGTTAGGTAGAGCACCATAGCAATCTCATTTATTATCAATTTATAGTTCTCTTTGTAGTTTTCTTTTAAAGCGTTCACATTTAACAGGTCAAAGACTTTGTGTTCGACCCTTTTTTATTGGTAGTGTAAAACTCTAATGAAGAGTACTCCCAGTAGTGCAATCATGGCAATTATTTTCCATTTTTTTTTGTTATAAAAATACCGAATAACGTATCACTGTTAAGCACAAATGCTAAGTAACTTTTACAAATATAATCAAATAAAACTATTACTTACTTTATTTTTAAATCTTTTTCATCAATTAAATACTTATCTTATCCTAACTATCTATACTAATATTATAAAGAGGCAAGATTTGTATGTTTGTAACAAATAATCTGTCAAACTACTGAACCGGTTTCAAATATTAATTCATCATAAGGTAGCTACATTATTTATTATAACATTTTTCTTTATTTAAATACATTTTGTCTGAGTGACATAGGCTATATTTTATCCCGATAAATAAATTTCGCCCGTACAATGCCCGGGTGGATCACTAGTAAGTATAATATAATATTATAGATGCGAAAGTGAGTTTGATTGTTGCGCTTCCGTGCCCTAATAGCTAAATCGAATATAATGAATTCCCATATAGAAGTAGATGGGAACTTGGTTCTTAGCTACAACATCGCAATACTTATAGGCGTAGGGTGATGAAAGGGGTGATTTACCTATAAAAATCTACATTATTTACTTTGAATTTTGCAGAATTATTACAAAACCAATATTATCGCGAGCTGATTAATAAATACAGGGATTCCAATAAGTATGTACTTACTAGCGAAAAATGGGTTATTTGTCATTATATTAAGTAAACCTTTTTTGTAACCTTAAGTAATCGTTAAAAAAATGAAAAACAGTAAAATTCTGAGTTTTTCATTAAAATTCAATAATCATAAATACCTATTACGATAATATATTTTTCATCATTTAATAAGAAGGAACTGTATCACAGTTTTAATGTTAGTACTTCGTATAGGATCAGATACTGCGAATACCCCTTTTTTTCTTTTACATAGTACACCGCGCTATCACTTTGTCATCGTTGTAACTTTTTAAATATTTGTCGAAATGACATAGTGTAAAAAGCAAAGTTTATCGTCTTTAAATATCAAAAGCGATTAAAGTATTTGTTTTGATAAAAAATGATTTTTTAATACAAAATGTGCATTTTGGAAATAGATATCAAATAATATTTTAGTTTTGATTCACTATTTGAGCGGTAATGACTTACACATTAAAAATAGATATATGGTGTCACGGACTTTTTTTAGAACTATTTAAGAGATACATTTTCACTCTACATTACATTCATGTAACTTTTATTGTTTTTGCAGTGCAGGCCAAAATGGCTCGCAGATGGGACACTTTTTTTCCGTCTTATGTGACACTTATTGCTATATATTGGCCAATTCACTCAATAACTACATAAATTATTATATATATGTAATTATCATATATGAGCTACATTACTGTTAAGTTTCATTAAAATCCATTCAGTATTTTTAGGTGAAAGAGTAACAAAGATCCATACAAACGTAAGATTAAAATTAAAAGCGTAGGTGGTTAATATACAACTTTAAAGCGTTGTAGATCCTAAACAATCATATAAAATGAAAAATGGTGTTAGGAACCTAAATATGATTTTTGATTATCTAGACAGTGATACCCCACTCGACATATTTTGTCAACTTTTTTTTTTACTTCGTCACAATATGGCGCCTAATTTTGCCCATATTGAATTTTGATTACTATCATATCTTTAGTAGCACTCCCATGATTGAGACGAATCGATTGATGTATGAATCATCAAAATCGGTCCAGGCGTTTGGTCTCTAGTGTGCCACAAAGGAACAAACATACATATATAGACTGTTAAACACATAACCCTGACTGCGCGTCGCGCTTCGCGCTCTTGCATTGCGCAGCCGGGTAAAAAGGGAGGACGTTCCGTACTAATAGGTTGGGGAAAAATGAACTTGTAATAAAATCTCTGTATCTGGCTGGTTTTGGTATCATTAAAAATTTTAAAGAAGATAATTCGAATTCAAATAAGAAAAATTGTGTGATTTTGTTGATTGTTTAAAACTTGACCTCAAAAAAGATAAAAATGCAACGCAAGCCGCGAAAAATGTTTATCGACCTAGTGCAGTGTCTGTGAGAGTAGCACAAATTTGGTTTACAATCCGGAAATTTTGATGTCAAAGATGCACGTCGCTCTGGTCCCCCTGTTATGGAGAAAATGAATGCCATTTTTGAAAAAGTGGAGCAAGATCGCTATATCAGTAGGGAGAAAATGAATGCCATTTTTGAAAAAGTGGAGCAAACGTACGAAAAAGTCGTAGTCAAAGAGACTGGCGAAACCTGGGTTAACTCGCAACAAGTTGATGCTTACAACTGATGAGATTAAAGCAAAAAGTTGAGAGAAAGCGGCTGAAACTAATCAACAGAAGGAGTGTGGTCTTTTTCATCATGATAACGCTAGACCTAAAAATAAAAGATATATACTCGTAGTTAGTCCTCACCTTGCGCCTTGAGATTTCCACCTGTTTCGGTATTTTCAGAATTCTTCAGGCAGTGTCAGGTTAACATCTGCCAAAACCACTTGTCGCGGTTTTTTGATCAGAAACCCCAAAATATCTATAGCAATGGGATCATGTCCCCTACCTACAAGATGATGGCAAAAAGTTATCGAACAAAATGGCCAAACTTTAATTTAATGTAAATTAAACTTTATTAAAAAATGTTTTGAATTTTCATATAAAATGCGAAAAAACTTATTCCCCAACCTAACATATATATACGTCGTGTAACAATGTTTTTAAATTATTATTTTTACTCAAGTTCATTTTCGTTGCTCTTCTAACAAGGGATACATGGCATGGCGCACATGTATTAAACTGTGTATATCATGATGCAAAGAACTGAGGAATAGGTACAATTAGCTACTAATATTAAAGATATTTACCGTAAATAGCTGTTCTATTTTACCCTTATTTCATTTTACAGCCATCACCTCAGCTTCGGAAACTTCATACCTGAATATATTTATTTATGGATACATAGGAGTCTGCGTTTGCTCCCTTATAGTGGACATAACCTTTGGTGCACATTTCGGAGTGGATTTGACTTATTTAACCAATCAAGTGGTAAGTTTAACATCTATGTTTGAGATTTGTTAATTACTATTAGACATGAAACTGTCATCATCATCATCTCAGCCGTACGAAACCCACTGCTGAGCATAGATTTCCCCCAAGGATCACTACACCGATCGGTCTTCTGTCACTCGTGTCCATAGGCTTCCCGCGACCTTCCGTAGATCATCAGTCTGTCTGGTGGGAGGCTGAGCGTCATCCAGTGCGTGGCTTGGAGAATTTGCACTAACGTGCGTGGTTATGCCATTCGAGATCCTTTCCATCATTGTGAAACTGTAACGAAACATATTACTCATAGTTGCTTTTATTAGTCACTAACCAAAGTACTACTACTACTACTACTACTCAAAGTCGGTCATAATTTAATTTATTTTCTTTGTATGTTTCCACAGGATACAGTGTTAAGTGAGGACCCCTTTCAAATTTACTCGTTGCAAATGTTACGATTGGGAGCGTGGTTATTTATGAGTATTTGCCTGAAATTCTACATTGGGCATCTTGTCAATATAGTCTTACTTATATTCTTAGTAGTCTATGTCATTGAATACGCGAAGGAACTGAATGTGTCAAAGGTAAGTTTCGAAGTATATAGAACACCTATATATATACATACATTGATAAATGATTGGTCTAGTGAGACCAATCATTCATCTAGAGAGACTGACAGACATTATTTCGGAAGACCAGTATTAATTACCCATTGAAAGTTATTAGGTATGTGTGTAGATTTAGAGTGCCTACGCACAAGATTATACTGAAACCTCTAAAGTTGCAGTTGAAATAATTTTAAATAGGCATATCGGTCTGGCTTATGTAAAATGCTCTTGTGTTGTTTCAGCATTCCATTCATAAATTAGGAGTGGTGAAAGCATATGAGTGAGTATTCTAATCATGGCATTTTTTGTATTGAAACATTAGCGGGTGTACTTACAAAAAAACAACTAATAAAATTAACGGTTATAAAAAGACCTTTTTGTTGTTGTTTTGCTATCGCAAATAAATAAGTGACAACATCATTCATTAAATTAAAAAACTGTCTAATGAGACAAAAAAATTGTCAGTTGTCCCCATCCCTGTGATCGGCCTTTACGCAGCTTGCTTAACATCCACGACTGCAGTCCAAACGCTAACCAATCTCTATTAAAACTGCACCACCGAGCTCCTATTAAAAAAAAAAGTTATTAAATTCACGCCTGTAAATCAAAAGGTTAATGTAGCGTTATTAAAACACAGCGAATTCTATAAAGACGGTTTTTTTCAGGAGTCCAATAAGAAATGACGTCTGCAACCATCATTGCGATATATGTAGCCAGCGTAACAGGAATGGAAGAGCAGGGTAGGCATACAATTAATGTTAAGTAACATAATGCACGAGCCGCCAACCGCGGCGATTGGCGGTCGCGCGGATGTTAATTTGTATAGGCACAACACACGGGTAACCGCATTACCGCGCGGGTAAGTCATACAAATTGATATCCGCGCAACTGCCATCCACCGTGGTTGGCGTCTCGTGCGTTATAAACAACGATATAAAATACGCTAGATACACCAACACGAACACAATCGTGCCCGAAACCTGTCCAAAAGGTACATTGAACGATCCACGGAGCTCTGTAAGATGATCACGTAGTCTAAATCAATATAAGGCATTATTTAAATATTGAAAGTAAACTTTAATACAAACTGTATAAGGTTTTAAATAAAACGCATGCGTCAAGGACTTCTGACAACTTACGACTAATAAGTCGTAAAATTTATATACATACATGCGGAAGAATTTAGACCTCAGTTCTTTGACTCTACGCGCAATTCTGAACGCGCTGTTAGGAATATAGCAGACATTTAAATATCACAAATATTTTATATTAAATCAGTTTATAGTAAGTATTAGATCAAAATTTACTTCAAATGCGTTAAATTAACAAACATTGACCAGATACCTGTCGAAAAAACGACACTTTTCGTACTCTAAGTATTATTTTCGCATTTTTTCGCGGAGCTCTGTGGCATCTTGACATTGTAACGGTCCGCGCGTGACTGTGAACCAAGAAGTGATTGAGTGGAGTTCAAGCACTTCTTGATTGGGACACGTTTTGAGCGCTCGTGGTGTATCTAGGGTATTTAATATCGTTGGTTATAAATAATATAATAATATTTCCAACACTCACACCAATTAGCCTAGCCCCAAAGTAAGCACTGTAAGGCTTGTGTCATGGGATACTAGGGTAAAGGATAGAATACATATACTGTACATATATAAGTATATTTATATAGAAACACATATTAAACATCCATGACTGGAGTACAAATGCTCGTATTCATCACACAAACATCTGCCCCCACTGGGATTCGAACCCAGGACCTCTCGAATCGGTGATAGCCATGAAACCCGGCGTACAAACCACTCGGCCGCGGAGGTCGTCAAATGTAGAATTACTTCAGTCTTTCCTTTTCAGGTCTCAAATTAACTACGGGTACTCGAATGACGAAGAACCGCCACGAAGCAGAAGCCCAGTGCGCAACAACATGAGACCAGAATATAATAAGTAAATAATTTTATTTGTTCTATTTAAAACCACGGCTATTATTAAGCATGAAGTTTTTTTCGTAATCTAGGTTTTGAGTTAGGTATGCCACCTGAGGAGACAGCGTCGCCCTGGGGGCTACCGCCTCTCGGGATTGCTATGATTATGATTTCGTTTTGTTATTTCTGACCGCCGAAGTTTTTCAAATACCTCGGGCTCGTTTTCTATAATATTTTGATTACCAATGCAAAAAGAGCGCGAGGCGTTTGAAAACGATCGGCGGTCAGAAATAACAAAATTAAATCATAAGCTATACATAGCAATAGCCAAAGCCCGATAGGCGGTAGGCCCCCTGGGGTAGAGCGAGAGAAACAGTCTCTCTCGGCGCAATGTGAGCCAAAAAGCCATGCGGGAGCAATTTCCAGCGAAATTTTTAATATAAGTATATTAAAAGAGCTTCCAAAGTGCGCTGATATACTTACATATTCATCTGAACATATCATCGAATGCCGGCCGGAATCTTATTCTCCTACACAATAGAGCTCAGCAATCTTACTTGGTGCAGGAATACAACACTTCATTCAAAACGTAAGACAATATTTCTTTTCATAAGTACTTATATTGCACGTGCCCTAAGCCATGAAGCAGATCTCGGTACTCTGACGATCTCGGTGCTTTGGCGATCTCGGTCCTGTCTTGTCTCTAGAACGGATCGGTCAATAGACCTATAGATCCTGACGTTGTTATAGTAGAGACGAGCCAGCACCCAGCATGCGTTGGCAGTATGGGATATCCTATATTTCGCTCGACAAAATCGTCTAGCGCGCTCTAACAAACAATTCTATTTCCAGTTCCGTTCCGGTACTAGACCGGTCCAGCTCTTGGCAGCCGGCCGCTGGTTCGTCTCGGCCGTTCACGTACCTAGAGGATGTGCGGCAGCGGCCGCCACCGCTGACCATGCCTCCGTCCCCGTCGCCTTCAGACGCCCAGTGGCGTCGCGACCGCTGGCAATCGGGAATGCCTCCGTTACCAGCCCCGGATTATAGCCCGCAAGGGCCCCGGAGACTCAAGTCTGCTCTAAAATCTTAGATAACTGCAATCTTTCATGTGACAGTGCGACACAGTGGAGGTGCGTTCAGAGGCTCAAGTATAGTATAATATACTTGGGCCTCTGAACGCACATGATAATAAGTAGTAATCGTATCGACATCGTCAAATTTTGTATGCAAGGAGCCAGTTTGTCCTTACGTCCGGTAAGGGCGCTGCTTAGTTTTCATAGAAACTGACGATGCGATACGATTACGGAGTATTCAAAATTCGTGATTGGGTCAAACGCCAATCAAACCACTTTACTAAGTACTTTAGCGTGGTCTGAGGCCCAAGCACGAATAGGCTAGTTGACCCTTTTTGGAAAAAGGTTTTAAATGGTTAATAAATGTTCTATTAGACCGAAAAAAAATGTATTGTATTTTTTTGAGACCTAAAAAGCTACAAATCTTTAATTTTAAAATAGATTTTTCATGGACATACAAAAACGCTATCGGCCATTTTAGTCTATAGATTATCTATGCTATGACGTTAACTGCAGTAAACACATAGAGAAAGGTAAATAAACAAAAACTCGTAAGAAAATAACTGACTTTATAATAAACAAAAGATGATTTCTAATAAATACCCCGAAAAATAAAGTAATTATCATTATTGTATTGTACGAGAATATAAAAACACATCCTTGAAGATTCCAGGAAAGTTGTGAATTAAAAGTGCCGAAAGAAATTAACCTACGCAACTTTATTACACTTATTCATATGTTGTATCAGTTTTATGTTTATTACTACATTGTAATACTAAATACACTGTACTTACATAGATACCTTGTCGTTTCTCTGCTCCGCAGAGCAGAAATCGGGGTTTAGTGAAATAAATTCACCAACCATGAATGCGTCAATTCTTGGCAGATTTGTGCTTTCTGTTTTCACAAAGCCGGCATCCATAATTAGTTTTTTCAAAAAAAAAACAGTAAACGGAAACTTTTCTAAAGTTAAGTGTTTTAGGATAAATTAAGTCAGATGAAAGAATCCACCCACAGTAACACGCGAATGACATTTAGTTGTTTACCATATGAGACGTCACAATCATGGCGGATGTGGCGAATAGCGTTTTTAGTGTTTAAAAAATATAGACCAAAAAATATTTTTTAAAATTAAATTTCTACAGCAATCTTCTGCTTTTATGAAGGGCGACCATCATAAAACACAGGTTGGACCAATTATACTTTATTTTAGAAATCAGGTACCTGTACCTATTCAAATAGGACTGACTTAAACTAATCAAATAATTTAAGTAGCAAAAACAACACTTAACTTATTTAAACTGTAGACGTTCACTCTCAGTGCTGTATTTTTCAAAATAAGATAATCCACATTGCCAATACTCATCACATCATACTTTTAATACCAATAATATTCCTCAGGAGTCCTAAGAGCACCAGATTCCATGGACACCTTATATTTTTTTTACGTGCAGGACAATTTCAAACACTTATACTAACCAATAGGTCCAAGAAGGATAAACACATCCAGGTTCAATGTCATCGCTCGCAAACTATGTCATTTATGCATAGCTCTGTTACTGCTATTATTTGTGAATCGTAAAATGTTCTTAATTCACTATAATAAATTTCTTTAAAACAACAACTACTTTTTTTGTGAAAAGTCCTTTGAAAACGTAGAATTTGCGTTTTTTATATTTTTCTGTGTCATTAAACCACTACTCGCCGCTATTTTTCTTGTTTTCATTAGCAGCGACACGCGTGGTAAGAAAAAGAACTAAATACTTCATTTTGCTGCGGCAATTTGTAAACGACGATTGAATTGTCTATCAAATGATGTGGCATATTCTGCTGCCCTCAGGCTAAAACGGTTTTATGACAAAACCAACTTTTGAGATACATATGACCAAAAAACGGCGCGTAAACTTTAAATCATTGATATTTTGTAAACATTTATCACATGACGGATTTTGGACTTAAACCATAAAAGTTACGAAAATTTGTTAAAGACAGGTCGATAGAGAATTAAAAACTGTATAAGATCTAATATCAGCCCGAAAAATCGACCACTTAGCCGCACTTTAGTTTGAGGACGGCAGTATTATAAAGTAACAAAGCAATTTACATTTTGTCTTCGGCGTATTTTAAAACAGCCAGCGTTTTTAACCGGACTACGTCGTTTGTGAATCGCGGTATCATATAAATTGACTGCGACATACATATAGTAAGGCGTAGCCAGAACAAACCTGAGAGTGCGATCTGTGAAATTAGCAGCACAAACGGTATGTAGGATTTTGCAGACGTGCAGTGGATGTCACTGAACTGCTAACTTCACGACCGCGGTAAAGATCGGATCGCACTTTAGTTGTTAGTGTCGAACTTCTCCCTAACTTATTAGTTTCCGAGCTTCTCTAAGTTCAATTAATTTATACTGAATCTTTCTGTTTTATATATGATATGCAGTTCGCATGTACTATACGACACTGGTGATTATACCATGAAAAACATAGTCAATAATATTGGACCGAACAGGTAGGAAGATTCTTAATTTTCATTATGCGACCTACCGTATAGAAAAACTCACAATTTGTTATTATTTTTTATAATAACTGGGCATATCTGCACACGAAATATTTAAATGAATAATGTTATATACTTACCTACGATTTAATTATACAATAAAACTATAGTATAATAAATTATCTTTTTATTAAAATACCTACCTATTCAATCTTTAAAATAATCGAAGAAATATATTTTAGAACTACACGCATAACTTCCAAAAGACTACACCAAATTGATCTTCCGCATTTTTTTGTATTGAAATCTCAACACTTTTTACATAGTTTGTACCTATGTGAAAAGTTGTTAATTTTAAACGTTAATTTATATGTTTTAAGTTTTAAAATCAGAGAAATGTAATTATTTAACGACATGAATGCATTCAGACAAAGTAGTAAGTAAGTAAAAGTATACTTTGTCTTAATAAAGATCCTTTGAATATCTTCGTCTGAGCTTAATATACGAATTAAAATATTTTTCACCAAGTCCGAAATTTATTCTGTTTATCTAAGGAAAAACAGAAAGTCACACCGACACGATGATGTCTGAAAAGCTCGTTTGTATCGCACTCCTGTACTTGGGTCTCGGACTTATCAACAAAAAGAAACAATTCGATCATAGCGCTATTTAAACTTTATGGCGGTGGTGAAGTTAGCAGCAAGTGCAACTAAGTGCAGTTTCAGTTCATGGCGGCATTTCACCTTGACATCAGTCTGTTCTTTTCACTCCTTATAAAGCGTGATGAGGACAGGGGCTCTACTCTCTTTCTCCGAAACGAACTTTCGATAACGAAATTTAAACGAAATTTAATTTCGTCAATTTAAGGATATACTTAATTTGAACGACAAACTATCAAATGGAAGCTTTCTTTGAGTAGGCTTAGTTAATCTACACCTTAATTTATATACCGACGACGAATATTGTTATAATTAAAAATGAACCAGAAACATAGTAAGGAAAGTGCGAAGTTGCGATCGAAATTTCGTTTTTCGTTAAATTAGAGTAGGTCTCCAGGCCGTTGTCAAGTGTACAAATAGCCAAGTGAAATGCCTATAATACTGCATTATTTGCTTCGAAAATTGCAGAATTATCGTTTATAATTACAAAAACGAATATATCGCAAGCTGATCAATAAAGACAGGGGGTTCATTATGTACCTACTAGCAAATAATAGGTTACATCTCATTATGTTAAGTAACCCTTTTAGTAACATGAAGTAATACTGTTAAAATAAACTTTGAAAACAGTATTATTCTGAGTTTTTCATTAAATTTTAATAATCATAAATACCTATTATGATATTTTATATTTTATCACTTAATAAGTAGGAACTTTATCGGTTTTATTGTACTTAGTTTGTTTAGGATTAGATACTGCGGGTAGCCCATTTTTTTCTTTTTCTCCTAGGTATTATCTATGTTTATAAATACCAAAATACATCAAAATTTCTTCTACTACCATTCCCGCAGTCTACTCCTGCACAGTACACTGTAGTACACCGCGCTATCACTTTGTCATCGTTGAAACTTTTTTTTTTTTTTTCATTTCTTTTGGCAACAAACAGTCATTTACATAATATTGAAGTACATGCATATATGTTAATATTAATAGACCAAACAGTGCCCAAAGTTTATTACATTTATAGCAGCAAATAGTCTCAACATAGTCAGATTTGCACGTGTATTCGTCTAATGCTAACAATTTATTGACATTAAAAGTTAACAACCTATAACACAAATAGAAATTTTCATAAACACTCTTTTTTTGGTTTTTCCATCAATATATAATTTAGTTTTTTTTTTAAACTATTGATAGATATATTAGAAAGATCCAAATCGGAGAACTCTTTGTTATAAACGTTGGTGGAACGACACATATAAGAATTACGTGTATAGTTTTTGCGTAACGGCGAAGGAACAAATAATTGCAATTTACGTGAGGAGCGCACCGGGAGACGAACTCGTGCTAAAATGGAAATTTTGCTGAGAAGAATGGACGAATCAATTTGTGAGTTTAAGAGTTTGAAAAGAAAAATAATGTCAAACATTTTACGACGATTAGAGTTTATATCTAACCAAAGCTTCACTGTATGATTCATCGGCTACATTGTTGCGAAAGTTAAGAGATTTAATAAATTTACCCTGCACTCTTCCTATTCTTTGTACATGTTTTAGATAACATGGGCTCCAAACCGTGCTGCAAAAATTTAGAAGAGACCTGACGTAAGAAAAATATAAAATTGAGTATATATCCTAATCTACGAAATGCTAAGTTTAATATGTGGTCTATGTGAGGATTAAAAGTTAGTTTCGAATCCATAATCAAACCAAGGTCTCTAATTTTAGTAACGCGCTTGATATTGTTGCCTTCAAATGTGTATTGAAAGTTGTACTGTTTCTTTTTTCGGGTAAAAGATAATAGAACACTTATTTATATTTAAAAACAATTGACTGGATGAACAGTAATTACTCAGAGC